CTCGTTGTGACGATCCATGACTATGTCAGATGAGCTAAAAATCCTGGCTACACCACTGTTTTTGGGTGTTTTCTGACCATATTATTATGTGATTGAAAATAGGAGATTTGGGGATATTTTTTTGGGACAAACAGAAATTGTTGCGGACAACCTGATTTGATGCCTGGGTTGTCCGCAGGACAACCACATTTTTTTTCTTATTTCGAGCACTGCAAATGCATGCATTTTCTGACCCAAAACTTGTGTATTTTACCAACGTACATCAGAAACTAATACCCAAATAGAATACAGTGGTCCATGTTAACATTAAAAAAGTTAAAATTCGTGCTATTTGTATTTTTATGCAAAAAAAATAAAATATATAAATACTAAATGTTGTGTTACATAGAATGATAAAGTAATGTGACATTTAAACAAATTTATATTTCACTTCAGTTAGGGAAACTAGATAACAAAAAGTATGTAATTAAAATCATGTAAAATATAACTGTTAAGTAGGTTACCTCATGCCCTTGACGCTCTAGGATTTCTTTAGAAAGATGAACTGCCCGTTTGCAGGATGGGGTCGGTGTGACGTGACCATTGTCATCGAAGTAGCCAATGCGGAGTGCACGCTTGCTTTCATAAATCTGAAAGATACTTGATGCGATATGGTATAGAAAGTCCAAAAACGTTCCAAGGGGCCCGTTGTCAGAAACATAATAAAATTAAGACTTACTTAAAATTAAGATAACACTCACGACTAATGTTAAGATTAGTATTGTTTTTGACAATGGGCCCCCAGGTTTACCAGACAATAATTTATAAAGCGTAGTTCAATCAAATTCACCTTGAGCAGTGCAGTCATTCTACTCTGTGGTTTTTCATTGTTTATTATCCTATCGATACGATTATGAAGATGTGGCACCAAATACGTAATGCTCATTTGGCGTCACTACTACTAAATGATGAATCAGTTAAAAACCTCAGCCAATGTATGATTTCAAAATCATTAACACTTGTTATTTGATAAATTATAACTCCTGATATTATTATCTAAGCTTTTTCTTATCCAGTCAACTATCTTGATAAAGCCGATGTATACAACGCAAGTAACTTGGCCTTACCTCTTCTCTAAATGAAATGGGAATGACCAATGGATCAATATCTTGCATAATCTCACTGCAGATTGCCTTCATGGCCAGAGCCACATCAGCAACATTTCTCCCCATGGGTCCGTACGACACCATTACTGTTTGGCACCATCAATAAAAACGCAATTTAGAAAAGTCTTTACGAAACGATGGCGAAATTCCCTTCAGGGATATAAGATCCTTACCGTTAATTCCCCCTACTCATTACTGCATGCGCGTGTAAGAAAAAGGCGAGATTAAAAAGAGGTTACGGAACACAAGGTGTGCGCTTTAGAAAAAAACAAACACTGATGATGATGACATGATCCATGCCAGTCGATGTAAACTTTGACCAGCCAGGTGATTTCCTGGCAATTCATAACGACATGAAGAATGGCATCACTACACGGTGAGTTCTACAGATATAATAGGTGTCACGCACCTCCGTGGCATCCAGCAATGGAAGAGCGGCCTCCCTGCTTGCTGAAAAATAGTCAAAACAAGACAATGAATCAATGCATGCCTACCAATTTGGTGGTGTATAAGTCGAACATGGCAGCCAAAGATGGCCCCACATTACATTACATTACATTGATAACCACAGGGTTACAGTTGGAGTTAGGGATAGTATCAATAGGAAAATTAGTTAACCCTCTATTAGGCCCACCTGGGCAATCTACAAGTCAATCTTTTAAGATGTAAAATATCTTCCAAAGGGTAACACATACGAGGAATAAAGGTATATACACTCGAGGGCAAATATGTAAAACAATTTTTAAAAAGATGTTGATAAAGGGGTGTGTGTTAGAGGGACATTATTGACATCTCCCACCCATCCCTGAGACTGTTGTCACTCAACCCCCGAGACAGGTCTCACCCACCCCCTAGACTGGTCTCAGCTGATCCCTGAGACTGGTCTCAGCTAACCCGCTGGACTTGTGCGGTCCTCAGCCGGAACCCCCAAGACTGATTCAGCCAGCCCCTGAGACTGGTCTACACCTGACCCCTTTAGACGTGGTCTCAGCTGACCCCTGAGACTGATCTCAGAGCCAGCCCCTTAATGACTGGGTCGTCATCTGACCCCCTAGACTTGGTCTCAGTCCGTACCCCGCAGACTGATCACTCAGCCGGCCCCGGACTGGGGTCTCATCTGACCTTGAGACTTGGTCTCTAAGCTGACCCCTGAGACAGTGTCAGCTGACCCTGAGACTGGTCTCACGCTTATGCTCGCTAGACTCGGTCTCAGCGAAACCCCGAGACTCGGTCATCACTGACCCCTAGACTGGTCTCACCTGACCCCCGACATTTGCATCTCAGCCGGCCCTGGACTGGTCGGCTCACCTGACCCTAGGCTGAGTCTCAGGCGGACGCCTAGGATGGAGTCTCGCTGACGCCCTAGACTGGTCTCACCTGGACCCTAAGGACTGGTTTACCTGATCCTGAGATGGTCTCGAGCTGACCCCTGAGACTGCGTCTCAGCCGGACCCCCTAGACTGTCTCAGCCGACCACCTGGACTAATCTCAGCCGGCCCCCTGAGACGTCTCAGCTGACCCCTGAGACGGTCTCAGCTGACCCCTGGAGACTGGTCTACCCTGACCCCGATAGACTGGTCTCAGCTGACCTCTGAGGACTGTGTCTCATCTGACCCCATAGATGCGTCTCAGCGCCCCCGGACTGTCTCACCCAACCTCCCCTATAGACTGGTCTCAAACTGACTCCCTGAGACAGGTCTTACCTGACCCCCTATGATGTCCCTCGCCCACCCCCCGATACGCGACTTGCGTCTCAGCCGATCCCCATAGGACTGGTCTCAGCCCGACCCCCGAGACTGATCTCAGCCGGCCCGAGACCTGGGTTCTCAGCTGACCCCCTAGACTGGTCTCAATCTGACCCTAAGAGTTTCACCTGTGCCCTGAGACTGGTCTCGACTGGACCCCTAGACTGCGTCTCAGCCTTGACCCCTGAGATGGTTCATCATGACCGCCACGTTAGACTGGTCTCAGGCTGACCGCGCGAGGACTTGATCTCACCCACCCCCTAGAGCTGGTCCTAACTGATTCATGGACGCAGGTCTTACCTTGACCCCTCAGACTGGGTTCTCGCCCACCACCTAGACCTTGGTCTCAGCCGATCCGCTAGATGGTCTTCAGTCGACCCCGAGACTTGATGCTCAGCCCGGCCCCCGAGGACTGGTTCTCGCTGACCCCCGAGACTGCGGTCTCACCGCTTGACCCCTGAGACTGCGTCTCACTGACCCTGATACTGGGTCTCAGGCTGACCCCCGGGGACTGGTCTCACTGGACCGCTGAGAGACTTGCGCGGCGTCTCACCTGCGACCTTGGAGGCTCGTCGGGCTTTAAGGCGCAGACTCGCGCGTGAATGTGCGCCGGGTGATGCGGAGGCTGCCGGCGGAGGGCAACCGTCCGCTTGCCGATGCCGAGAGGGCTTCCGCCCTGCGTGAGTGCGCGCAGCAGTGCTGCCTCGCCGCCGCTAGAGCCCCCTGGTGAGCGCGCCGTGTTCACCTTGGCGGTTTTGTGGTGCCCCAGTGACAGCGGGTTGCTGCAGTCGTGAGTTAGCGCAGAGCAGATTACGATATGTATATATCTATATCTATCTATCTATTTATATATATATATATCAGGGGTAAAAAATAACAAATCTGTCATATCTACAAATTTGTCATTATCTACCCCTGATATATATATATACACAATATATGTGAACACAAATAATACAAGTGAACCTGATACAGGGTGCAACTGCCCCTCCAGGGCAACACCAAACGTGTCCTTCATGGACAAGTGTTCATTCTATAGAGGTGACTGCTAACAGGGGTTTGATTTTATAGCTGCGGTCTTGCGTTCATAAGGGAACATTACATACGGCAAACTCGATCCATCATAGCATATATAAACAGATGGTCTTCGTTACTAATAACTAGTGTGGATTTCGTGACTGATCATCAGTTGCTCAAACTGATTGATGAAACAATAATGCAATCATTAAACTCGAAGGTGTAACAGACAATGAACAAGAAATTCGATTACTTAGAACATTAATAATATTGCAGCAGCAAGTAGCAGCAGCACCAGACATCTGCAGTCGTATACCCTCGAGGAAACATTTTGCGTTGCGCAATCTGGCGCATACTAATTAGCAGCAAAGGGTAGTGACCGCGCAATAGTAGCAATCAACCGAAACCTTGCATTGCCCTGGTCCTACCAGAGCAAACTCTGCGGAACATTGGTCTTCACGAATGGGACGGCTCCCTGCAGCTTCAGAGTTTTGACGATCGTCGCATCTTTATCTACTGGGAATAGAAATTTCACCTGCCCCGCAGTCGAGGGGTAGCCCTGCATAATAAACAAACAACACGGTGGCGGAGATTTGCTACGGCAAACAAACCGGCACGGCAGATCACATAAATGCTCGGCAGTGAAATCGTCCTTTGAACGTTGAGGGGTTTATCGAGAGCAGGCTACGCAATTCATTCGGGAACTAGTAGGTGGAAAATAAAGCATACCTTGATGTCAACGTTTTCCTTTATGCTGACTGGGACACCAAACAAGCAGCCAGCATTCTCTGGACCCTTCTCATCCAGATCATTTGCCCATTGCTGAATGGACAAGATTAGGGACAATTAGGTCAAATGGTAATCCCATCTGCGAATGGTAATACCAGAAAAATCCGTGTGTGGATAATACAAGATTACTTTATAGTGTAAACTGTAGCTGTGCCACTATCTAGAACATGACAGGGAGAGATGGGGAGGAATAAGTGCATCAGCGATTGACAGCAAATTGTACGTGCAAGTCACACATAATATATGTAGGGCAAAAATAGAGGGAGTGAAAGAAAGAGGAAGGGGAGGTTGAATGGAAAGAGAGAATGAAGAGGTTGGGAGAGGGAAATGTAGAGGGAGGAATTCAATTATATTAAATAAATATATTCATAATATATATATATATATATAACACTAGTAGACTCACCTCAGCTTCAGTAAGGAATTCAGTCACACAGTTAATTCGTTCAGTTACCTCGAGAGCCTAAGAGATAAAATATTCAATTCATCTATATTTAGCTTGGTTGTTTAGTCAAAGAAAAATGAAAAATAACTTCAAAATGTTAACAACTGTCATAGTATTTATTGCAAAATGAGAATATGTGCACAGAATACTTCCTGTATTTCCAGTGTCACTTTAGCACCATTATAAATACAGATTATACATGCTCCTTACATTATTATTAGAGGTGCACTGGATCCAACTTTTTAAGTTCCGGCCGGATCCGAAACCGGCCAGAACTTGAAAAAAGTTCCGGCCGGAACCGGAACTTTAGCTGGGAATAAACTTGACAGTTTTGGCCCAGTATTGCGCAAACTCACTCGGCCTGAACGAAATATCATTAGGCAAGTAGGACAATGCTCAAAGTTCTAATTACAGGATGGTTGTTACTGTTAGGTGTATGAATCAGCTGCTTACAGTGCATAATTTGCATAATACTGGCATTATGTGGCAAAACCTGCATGTTGCAGTATCCCTGGTTTTAGTCTATTATTTTCAACTAACGGACAGATGCGATTTGATTTTGAAAGAAAATCTTATGAATCACCTAACATCAGTTAGGTTCAGTTCAGTTAGTTAGCCAATGTTCAAGTGGCAAGCGTTTTTTGGGAAGAAAAATGTGAAGTTGTTAACAAGTTATTGTCAGCAAGTTGACTCTATTGACTCTCAACTACATTCAGTGACTAATCTTTTGATCTTGATGACACTTGTAGCAGAAATGAAATTAGGAAAAAGTGCCAGAACCGGAACTCCGAAAAATTGGGGATCCGGCCGGATAGTTCCGGCCAGATCCAAGTTCCGGTGCACCCCTAATTATTATCATCCTATATCATACGGTAAGCAAGCTTCGATTTTATCAAGTCAAATAATGCTGTCTGACGACACCTACACCTGGACATGGCACATATGTTATGTACTACCCAAGCCCTAGTTTCTATAGCATTGGCGGAACTACATATTGTAGTGCCTTACTACCTGCCTGCTATTAATTAAGTGCCCTAGAACCCACCTGTAAGGCAATAGTAACTAGAGCTATTCACACCTTTGCCTGGTAAGCATGCAGCACCTCTACTGCTGTGTAGTGACGTCGTTTTAAAGCCAAAGCTAGATCAATGGCCGACAATTTCACAATCTCATCTCGTTTTTGTAGCACTACCTGAGGATTGGATGACCAAAATAGAAATCACATTGGAGTTATCAAAAAGTCATATATTCCCAATAACAGGAGTAGGATAATAACAGATTGTATAGCATACTGAACAATGACTATATGCTGCTAAAATGTACAAAGAACCATGCACCCAATACATCATATAATAAAGTTACCATTACAATTACTGTTAATACTAAATAGTATTCAATAAACACATCAATTTACACAAGTCAGAATTAGACAGTTTATGAAATTCCTTTAAAATTGTGCATTATGTAACAATTATAGTAAATTAATAAGTAACATATATGGCGTCTTTATAATGAACTACTGCGGTTTGCAGCATATTGTACCGTATCATCGGTGTGTAGCTTCTCCTTCAAATGTTGCTTAACTGCATCACACTGAACTCTCTTCTGTGCAGCTGCTGCCCGAAACTTTCGCGTTCTGTAAATTCCCCGCGCTCTCTACGAATAAAGAAATATCGACACATTGGATATGATTGGACGAGGTTATAATAGATAATCGGAACTTCACAATCGCTCGTAATGGCATATGTATATAATATATATATATTGCAATCGTGGGACTGATTCTAGTATGATAGTTGTGTAGGGAAAAAGCCACGTGTTGGCCACATGATCGCACGCGGATTTTTACGAAATACCATCGGATAGCAGCCAAAACTGTGGCGTGCATGTCAGCTCCACTAGCGCGAAAGTGTGGAGAAGTGATGTTGCATTTAGAAGTGCATCAGGGGAGACTACGTTTAATCATGATAGCTGTAGGAGTAGACAAAAATTCATCTTTCTTCTGTACCTATGACACAGAGAATAGGAACCAGAAGGAGGTGCAGCAATAAATAGGCATGGACACTATATTCAGATTTGTTTGAGGCGTTTAAGAAGATACCAGCAGCTGTGGAAATTGGTTTAGAGCGAGATACCTTAGTGGTAATGATCCTGGTTCCAAACACAGCTAGCTCAAGTTTAAGTCCAGACAAACTATTCAGTAACAGTGCTATTTAAGTATATAGTTCAGTATATAGTAGAGTAGTATGTATAAAATATAATACCATCAGGAATGAATACAAGCAAATAGTGTGCATGTATGTATGTTCATGCTGCTTCTATCTTAGGTGCAAGCAAGGCACTTTACTCACAGTCTCACTGCCCTACACAAAAGTATATTGATGACACCAACCATGCATAGATGGCATGCATGTATACTCATTGGAGGGTGGATATGATAATGTAGAAACCTGTGAAATGGGTTTGAGTGCGTGATTTATCGGAGACTATTTACATAGACTACCCATATCTAGGTCAATTCAACTACAGTTTTTCAAGGCCAACCTTGCTCTTTGAAAAGCCTCGATAACAGCTAGCCTTGTAATCATGTATTTTAATACACACTGAGCCTCGCATCATGGGAACATGCTTCAATGCTTGCACTTCACAATGGGCCGAGGGTGATAGTTTAATTCTATTTCAAGACCCACCGCACATAGATAATCGTCAGCATCATAACCATCACCCATTACCACCTGTGCGTTCATAATGCCGTAATCATATTTACATAATGAATCCACCATTGACACGTTGAATTAATCGTATATATTGCGTAAATATGCATAATGTTTATGGTACCACGTAACCTAGGCTTGTTTCCACATGGATAGGGATAGATCTGTGAGAGCAAGCACAGAGTGGTATGGTAGAGCCCTCTCTAATACTAGTAGTAGTAGTATCTCGGTAAAGTGTTCCTGAGCTTTGCCTCGTGGCAGGTCGATCATCGAGTGTATTATTTTATTATATTATTATAATTATATAGATATTATCAGGCGTGAATAATAATAGATTAATTATCACTATATAGATCACGATCACGATATCTGGATCTGGATAGTTTACTGTGTAGCCCACGGTTACGTGGATAATAACGCAGGGACATTCCGTAAGGAATAAACGTCCAGGGCTATAGCTAGCCATGGTGTGTGACCTAGCTTGGGTAAAGCCAGGTAGTTAGCCTTTTAGCCGAATGGCACTGAGGATGGTCACAGCCAGAGTTTTTTTTTGCGCCCTCAGTGGTTCTTTTACATCCCCATTAGCCTTAGTATTGTTGTGCTCAAACTTGGAATCTTGCACAAACTTGGAATTTCAGCGCATCCGCAGTTTGGGCAACCAAAAAACAGTAGATCTATTATTATTCACTCCTAATTTATGCCTAATACTAGTAATAGTAATAATTACATTCGTCGTATAAATCAGTATCACTATCAGTATCACTACTAGACAATAATATACCACAATATAACTCTCTTTTCTATTGGTTTCAGATTGAGTCCCATCATTTGTAATCTGTATCGAATAAAGACTGATTTACGAAATGGACGTGTTCCTATCTATGATGGGATTCATTGACTGGTGAAGCCGCTTCTATCGCTTGACAACTCCCTGAACTCACAATACGATGCCGGTTATTGACTGCCCCATCGACGAGTGCGAATACGCCACACCGGACGTCGACGCGATCGTGGCAGCAGCTCTAGTCCGTCAGGTCTCAGCACCGTCGAGTCTACCATTTCCAGCAACTGAAGACAATCGAGAGAAGCTGAGACAATACCTTCTTGATCGTTACGAATCTAGCACATGCAACACGTGCGAACACCAACCACTGCCGATGATGGAAGGCCCCCCGCTACATCTAATGGTGGACCCAGATGCCGAACTCATAGCAGGACATTCTCCCGTGCCTGTACCCATCCATTGGCAAGACGACGTGAAAGCTGGATTGGACAGAGACGTACGGCTTGGCGTACTAGAACCAGTACCAGTAGGTGAACCAGTGACATGGTGCCACCGCATGGTCGTTTGTGCGAAGAAAAAACGGCAAGTCGAGACGGACAGTTGACATGCAACCACTTAACACGCATGCAACACGTGAAACCCACCACACACAGTCACCATTCCACCAAGCGCGGTCGGTCCCACATGAGATGGTAAAAACTGTTTTCGACGCGTGGAACGGTATTTTCTATCGCTCTCCGCTCTTGCGTTGTTCGCAAAGGAATACCCAAATTCGACTGGTTACTGCACCAAATGTAGGCGTGTGATTCGCACTACCGTGGTAGAAGGTCTGTAATAGACTGATAGATACATAAGACAAGACAAGAGTAACGTTCACTAGTGTTTTACTAAATCTCTAATACAATACATAAAACCTCAGTGCACTACCGAAAGAAAGAGCGTTTCCACTACATGATACCCGTATCACACACTTACACCTTTTTCAGTTGGTGTCTTCTACAAAGAACCCCGAGGCGCGGCCGTGCTCCACTATTTATACCACGTTCCTTCTCCTACGTCACCTCTCGTTATAGGTTCCTTCTCTGACCAACCGGCCATACTAAATACGGGAAAGGGGCAGTCCTACAACTGCTATATCACACTACCGAATATGGTAGGGTATTAGCGTCTTCGCACTTGGCTGGACTCCATGGTCCGATTCTGGCCCTGATGTCATAGATCATCTGGCCAGTGTCTAGGCTGTCACAATGCGTAATAACTCGGGAAACCTTAGCCATGAGCTTGGGCTATTGCTTCCCCTCCCGTGTTCTCGGCTCCTTGATCTGGAGTCCGCTCCCAGCCTGTTGTGACATCTCTTCCGACACTGAGGCACCAAGATTGCGTTTCCCCGCATCGCCATCGCTTTTGCGTGGCATATGGGATTTGCCCGCTTACATTATCACAGTGTACCACTCCGGGAAGAAGATAATCACATTACCACCTTCATCACACCTTGGGGAAGATACCGTTATCGCACAGCCCCACAGGGCTACATTGCATCAGGCGACGGCTACTCCAGAAGATTTGACGAGATTGTCTCGGATGTCCCCAACAAAACCAAATGTATCGACGACACACTACTCTGGGCCGACAACCTGGATGAGTTTCCACCAGGCATGTAACTGGTTAGATATCTGCGGCAGGAACGGGATAACCTTCAACCCTGAGAAATTTGCATTCGGCCAGGCCACCGTTACATTTGCCGGGTTCGAGATTACACCAGACAGCGTGAGGCCTTGCCAGCAATTCCTGCAAGCGATCATGGACTTTCCAAAACCAAGGATCATCACTGACATCCGCTCTTGGATAGGGCTCGTCAACCAGGTGTCATACGCCTTCAGCATGACAGAACAGATGCTTCCATCCCACGAGTTCCTCAAACCTGGAACAGCATTCCACTGGGATGATCACCTGACAGAATTACTTGAAGAATCAAAGCTGGCGATAGTGAGCGAGATAGAAGAGGGCGTACGAATCTTCGACAAATCAAAGCCAACCTGCCACAGACTGGTCCAAAGTCGGAATAGGATTCTGGCTTTTCCAGAAGCACTGCACCTGTGCCAAGACAGAATTGTTTTGTTGTCCTACTGGATGGAGAATAACACTGGTAGGCAGTCGCTTCACCCACCCCGCCGAATCACGCTATGCTCCAGTAGAAGGCGAAGCCCTTGCACTTGCCGACGCATTGGACAAGGCTCGGTACTTTGTGCTGGGATGCGAGGATCTAATAATTGCGGTGGACCACAAGCCACTTCTCAAGTTATTTGGAGACAGATCACTCAATGACAAATCAAACTCGCGTCTCAGAAACCTGAAGGAAAAGACGCTAAGATACAGATTTCGCATGACCCATGTACCTGGCGTGAAGCATCGAGCCGCAGACACTGTCTCCCGCCAACCGACTGGTGACCCCGCCAAAATGCAACTCGAAGATGACATCTCCGCCATCAGGCACGTTCCACAGAGCAGCACCACCCCACCAGATCTGTACACACAGCGGGATGTATACCACAACTTCATCTCCGGTATTCGCTGCAGAGACGACCACCAGGATGAGATGGAAGACATCGTCCACCTTGCCGCGACTTCATCACTGATCTCGCTACAAACTATCACGTGGGACAAGGTCCGCACAGCCACATGTAGTGACGTTAATACGAACAAGCTGGTCGACTTGATCGAAACAGGCATGCCAGAATTCCGCCATGAATTGCCTGCGCCACTGCAGGAATATCATCAGTTCCGGGATCATCTTTACACAGTAGATGGCGTCATAATCTACAAAGACAGAGTCGTGATCCCACCGTCACTCAGACATGACTGTTTGACGGCCCTTCATGCCACACACCAGAGCACGTCATCGATGATTGCAAGAGCAGAAATATCCATGTTCTGGCCTGGAATTACTCCCGCCATCACTGCCGTCAGAAATAGCTGCACTCATTGCAACCGAATGGCACCTTCACAGCCTAGCGCACCGCCAACACCCACAACATCGCCGGTATACCCATTCCAATGTGTGTGTGTGCTGATTATTTCCACTACAAAGGCACCAACTACCTGGCAATCATTGACAGATACTCCAACTGGCCTATCGTTGAAAAGGCCTCATGTGGTTCCACTGGGCTAGTTGACAGCCTGCGCAGATCATTCGTCACCTATGGCATACCCGACGAACTCGCATCTGACGGTGGCCCTGAATTTACTGCTCCCGCAACCCGCGAGTTCATGAAGAACTGGGATGTTCATCACCGCTTATCGTCTGTTGCCTTCCCCCACAGCAACTGTCGTGCATAAGTCGGAGTGAAAACTGTCAAACGACTTATAACTGACAACACAGGACCATACGGTGAACTTGACACAGACAACTTCCAACGTGCAATGCTGCAGTACCGAAATTGCCCAGACAAAGACACCAAACTCTCCCCTGCAATGTGCGTCTTTGGCAGAGCTATCAAGGACTTCATCCCTGTCCTCCCGGGTCGTTACCAACCACATAGCACCACATAGCACATGGAAAGAAACATTGGCGGCGAGGGAGGAAGCATTGAAAAACCGACATATGAGGGCTGCTGAACGTTGGATGGAACACACAAAGCAACGTTCCACCCCTTGTAGTTGGGCAACACACGTCAGGATCCCACGAACCAAACTGCGCCGCTTAGCCACATCTGAAATGGGATAACAACTGGTGCAGGTGATAGAGGTCGCCAACATGACCAGTACGTGGTGGCGTTGTCGAGGTCCAGGACGAGTTACAGTCCGCTATAGGAAGTTCTGGCGGATGTATACCCCGTACACGACCGCACTGCCGCCAGCTACCAGTATCAATGCATTGATGACATACAAGGCAAGCAGCATCTAGATGGCCAAGGTCAAAACCATAGAACCTGCCAATAAAGCCGTGATGACATGGAGCAGGTGGCACCTGCAGAGTCATCACCAACTCAACCATCAGTAACCCCCCCCGCCCCCCTGCATGGCCAGAGTTTCATCGGTACCCTTGCCAAATGACAGGCCACGGTCGCCGGAATGCCCATCAGCAAGCTTCAAGCCGACTTCCGATGAGACAATTACATTACACCCCGCGCTAGACGCTCGACAATCACCTGAGGTCCACACGCATCGCAACCAGCAACTTGTCTTCCTCGGGCATCAACCCAAAAGCCGCAGTACGACAGCGCGAGCACAGTTAACGGGCTGGCGGACAATACTACTGCACGACTCAGAACCACGACAGCTGGATGGCGCATCAGAACCCGCGCTACGACCTCCTGCAAACATGCGGCGACTATGACATGACTAAAATAAGTGTCGTAGTTTGTGAGCAGACAGCATCATGAAACTTTACTTGTTAATCTTTTAACGTTATATTTCCTTATAGACAGCAAGTGCTCGCTAATCAAACATTGAGCTTATTCACCATAAGTCCATGGTAAAGACGATCACTCTGAAGGATTTATGGCTTTCGTTTCAATGTGTTACCTTTTAAATCAGTCAGTCTAGCCAGCGAAAAAATTACACCGGGAGGCGGCGAGCGATTTCGCTCCCGTCAGCTTTCAAAGGCGGGGCTCTGGGTAACAACAATTACGAGAGCCGAAATTTGAAAGATACGAGAAAAATCCTCGAGTACCGTGCGCGCCGGCAGCGTTCCGAAATTAGTTCCGAACCCGGAGGCCGAGCCCACCGAGTTTTTTTTCTCGGGCAAATAACAATAAGTTTTGTATATGCGCAGGGGTTAATTATCGTGGGAGTGAGGGCCGACCAGTGACACGCAGACAGACCGGCGCGTAACCAAAAGCCTGTTAACTGGATCGTCACTGATTTGTAGCAAGTAGAACTATTTTTATTCATTTAGATATCTAAGAAGCAATGTAAAACTGTATATAACTGTAAGAGATTCTACGGCACGTTGGTAACTTTGCGCATGTGCGGGCAGCATTGATCTATGCATGTGGGTACCGGTGGACATAGGAGGAAAACGAAAGTAAAACCTTACCCAGAAGCTCCGCACGGGCAATCGCTAGAGAATTCGCAGTACAAGTCTTTTTAACAATAGCTCAAAAGTAACTAAAAATTCTCATCTGAAGTTCTGAGCTTATGCTCAGTCGATGTAAAAATAAGTTGAAAAGAAAAAGAAATAAAGTAAAAAAAATAAACTTGAAAATAAACGCATACACTCATTAACATGATTAATAATTTTGATATTCCATGTCTTTGTCATTTGTTACGCTGACTATCTGTACTGTGTGGAATGAATATTGAAAATAAGAATGTGAATTCGGTTTCTGTAAGTCGAGTGAACTGAGATGAAAAAATCGTGAATCGATGTAATTTGTTGACGCGAATTTCTTGACACTCTGGATAGTCTGATAGTGGTGCTTGAGTGCTGAATGCGAAGAAATGATCATTAAATATAGAGTCAGTGCAATCAAAATTCATGAAAATTTTAACAAAATCGATGCTATGAAAAGTAGGCGTCTGAGCCAGAGCCTAAAATAAGCTCCCGTAAAAAAATTACGAAGAGCTCTTTCTTTTCATACAAAATCAAAAAAGAGCTCTCGTAAAAAAAAAAAGGTAATTTTTAGGCTGGTCAGGTCAATTGCCGATTGGCACCTACTCTGCTGCTAAATACAGTATTACAGACATACCAAGGATATTGGAGATAGACAAAATATATACCAGCAGAATGTAAGCTCTCTTTTCTATTGGGTTCAGATTGAGTACCCATCATTTTGTAATCCTCTATTGAATAAAGACGTGATTTACGAATAAGACGTGTTCGCTAATCGTAACGGTATAGACGGCGACGGTCGCAAATCCAACTTTAGGCAGCCTTAAGGTATTCCACGAAGTGATGCCAGATTGTTATAGCACATTTTCGGCTATATCAAGGAATGATGCAAAAGCCGCTAACACCTAACCCTAAGTCATAAAATATGAACCTTGGCTTAGGCCTTCATGGTATCACGAAGTGTGTTAGGGTAGGGTTAGGGATTTTTGCAAAATCATTCGCGTGATATAGCGGAAAGTTCCTGTGCATCAGTTTGATGATAGCCTCATAAATCTGTGCATCACTTCGTAATACCTAAGGTGCCTAAAGTGGATTTGCACCTCTAACTACTACCAGTGACAGTGATCAGTCATGACATGATCATCATACGGCCCAAATTATACAACGGCCAGATATTAAAGTTACCTTGACACCAAAATGAACAATGGTAATTAACACCGCAGTCGCTGCAAACTTTGTCCGAAAAGAACCGTAACCCGTAAGAGTAGCACCGGCCCTCCACAATAATTCTATAAAACGGTCAGTCATTGCTGTTACACTACCACAATACTATGACAACTTCAACAACTTTTGCAATGCAAGACAAGAATGTGCTGAGCTTCGAAATCGCTCTTCGTAAACAAACGCGTGGTAGCGCCCCCTATCAGAAGGAAGTGTACGAAAAAATGACACGAAAATCTTGCAATCTTATATTATGTATTTCACAACCAATAGCTCTTTTGGAATTGTTTGATATCATCCTAAAATAACACAAAAAATATCAAACTACCCTTTACTCTTCTTATAAACTAATGTCACTTGCCTGATTACATTGTTATTTTACGAGTTACTAGATGGCAGCACCAAATGGCGGGAAAACATCGTCTCTCTGAAAAATCATCACAAGTAATTTATCAACTGTTTAGTTAATTTTCATCATCTCATATTAGTCCATTTACCATCTGCTGTGTGGTTTAAATATGGAGGTGTCAAGTAACACAATTATAGAGGAATTCGATGTAATAGGAGTCACAATTGCGACCAGCGGCAGTGAAAACGATGTAGATAAATGTAAGTTACATTTACAACACGGCATCACTCTGAAACAAGTTACAATACGGTATTAAAGTTTTAACTCTCCATAAAAACCTTAAAACAGTTAATATTTATATGGTAATTGGTATTACTGCAAGTCCTCTATATCCTGTGAATATTCTATATAAGTTATGACTCGATCCTCCACTCCAGGCTCCAACTGCACTCTAGTCTCTAGGCTCTAGCAGTAGCAGTAGCACTGGTGTTCGTCTAGGCAATTACAATGTTAATTGTAACTGTATAGGCCTACGTATTCCATAATGAAAAGTAAGGCAGAGAACAGTTACTAGTATGATGTAGTGCTAGAGCTAAGTAATAAGATAATAATACAGATGCACTAAAAGTGAATATTAATATTATTATATTGTGTTTTCAGTGAGAGAACTAATGGTTCTGCATCATCTTGACATTGACAGTCTGGTCAATGAATGGGGAGCATTTGAGATGACACAGGGTGGTATAGAGTTATCCCAAGAAACCCTGGCACAGTTTGAGCAGGTAAATTACCAAAAGTAATTAGAAAGTAATCTTTCACACGTCCCTGTATAGGCCATCCATACCTAATTATTGTTAGTGACATTATAGTGTTGCAATAATAAAATTGTTTGTAACAGTCGTAATTGTTTACTTTTATTTATCGGTGCATGGATTCATGCAAAGATCGAATCATAACAATTAATGCTAGTAATTCTCTACATGTTTGTTGTCTAGTATCTCAACAACAACTCAAAGAAGACGCCAAAAACTCTGAAGCTTCCACCAAAGAAGAATAGTTATTCTGCAAAGAAATCTGGCAATATCAGTTTACTGGCTGAACGGTAACTAAAATAATTGGATTTAGGTGGATGCATGAGTAGGTTGTCTGTTCTCTGTAGAATAATAATGCAGGGCTCCACACTAACTTTTTTTTTAGTGGCCTGTTCGGCCCAGTAAAATCATGAATTTTCAATTTTTGGTGGCCCGAAAAGCAAAGTTACTGGCCTAAAACAACAACAAATGAAAACATTAAAATTGCACGCCTCGAAGTCAGGGCATTATCATTGGTTACACAAGCCAGCCGCAGCTGCAAAACCCGCAATGCTTGTCTCGGCTATGCAGTCGCAATAGCGATTGTGTACGCTTGACTTGCCAGCCAACCGTTTGCGATTGCAATCGCATCATTCCCGCATATATGCACGCACACGCAGTGTTTCCCCTGCATTGACACGAGCGAGGTGGCCGCCTCGCTCAAATTCTCAGCCGCCATGCAGAAATTTATCAAAAAACACCGCCTCGCTGACGAAAATCATTGTTCTTCCATCAATAAACTACACTTTATTGAACTAATATGGAAATAAAGCTCCAAACGTAAAACACAACGCTGCGTACTCACAATACTGTCAACACGCACACACAATAGTCGCTAGTCACAACACAGGCTAACCATACGAACACGTCTGTCGGTGTGTATGTCTGTGTGTCTGTCCGCTCGATATCATTGTAACCGTAAGAGGAAGAAACTTCAAACTTGGTCCACAGTTGCATCTTATGGGGCGAGAGAACCCTATTGATTCTGAGCCACTTCCACCCAAGGTCAAGGTCACAGGGTCATTAACTATATTTCGAACACTGATACGTACGTACGCAGAGCCGAGTGTTATATATATGATATCAATTTATTCCACTGCACGCTACAATGCACTGGACCAATGACGAATGCTAACCGTTCCATGAACACAAACAGAAACTAGAACAGAAACGACACGCATTCGCTTTATATGCAGAAGACTCTAATTAAAATTTACGCGTAATGTTCTCTCGCATACGAGACACAAACTACTGTATAGTACGCATACATTGCATCACACCATATTGCAGCGGTCACGCGCATTGTATTGTAACTATTGTTCGCGTATTGTTCTAGCTATCGCGACTCATGCACACGTACACGTAGTCACGTACACACACGCTATAGCCACACAAATACATGCACACATACCGTACGTACACACGCACAAGATTTTCACGTAAGAAAATTATACTTTTTCTCACATAGTCACTTAGAACGTTCAGTTTTACTGGCTCCGGGCCACCGGGCCAGCGCTAGTGTCGAGCCCTGAATAATGATTAAAGATTATTAGGTATGTGCTTATTTTACACTGAATTTAGTCTAGTGTTATAATATTCCATTGTAATAATCATGATTCATACTTATTAAAGGGTTGCAAGAGATTCTTCAGAGGCAAGTGAACTAATTGATGCGTATTCAACCCCAGTGGCAAAGGTATATGTTTATAGTTAGAAATAGTAATGATTTTATCAGTTCTTCTTAAACAAAGTTAAAAGGAATTCACTAAAAAACATGCTTGTAAATTGTATATATGGACTGTTATAATAAGTATATCTGGGTAGGTCTGTTTTAGCATACAGCTCTTTAACATCACCAGAAAACTGCCACCATCGTGCAATAACAGTCGGACATTGAGGTGAAATGCATCTAGATAACGTGTTTTTTGTTAAATGTGTTTGTGTGTTTGTCTGCGTATGTACATGCATGCGTTGGTGTGAGTAAGTGTGTTATAGTTCTAGTGGCATATAATTACCTTTTGCTGGTTTCAGAGCAAGAATAAACGACAAATAACGCCAGATAACCGGATTAACAAGAGACTTGCATCTGTGAACGGTAGCCCTGCTGTGCCTTTCTCTCCTGCTAGCTTTTCTCCAACGTATGTATACTTCTTATTGTCACATAGTAGAAGCAGTTGTATCACTGCATGGTCATGTTGCAGTATTGTTGGAATTGCATCAGATTAACTGTGTAAGTAGATTCAAATAGTAGCTTTTGATATGTAAACTAGTTTCTTGTAAGGCAACTGATCAAGCTAGTTTGTTTGTCCGGGCTGCAAATTCAGTTACATCTACTCTAGATAGTATGGTGAATTTGCTCAATATAGAATGTGTGTCAACGTCAATATAATTATCTTCATAGATGTAGATCTGTATTGCACAAACAGATTTTTTTATCTTAAACGTTAAACGTTCTTTTTATCTTTATCTTTAACGTTCTTTTATCTTTTTATCTTAATCGTTAAACGTTCATTCATAAATCGTTGTTTACACGAATTATCTATTTATTTCGTGGTTTCTACGGATTAAATAGAATTCGTTCGTAGAAAATGCCGTGGTCCCGTTTGATACGAATTAAGCGAGGTTGACTGTATACTTTATTGACATGGTCTTTTGTGTATAGCACTCCTTCGACCGGAAAGTATTCCACCAGGAGAAATCCAGGCCAGGTGATTGCTACATTTGGAGATTCAAAGTCGGTGACTTGGGCGTCGGACAATCAGCATCCCTGCTCTGTGAAGCCATACGGAGAACGTGGTGTATTGGAGACCGATAAATATTCCTTCATGATGGAGAAAATAGTGGATAGGGTGAATGGTAAGCTTGCATTTCGCGCCAGTATAGTAGCCCGTTGTGTATGCTGTTTAACGTTGAGTTTTCGTGGTCAAGAGTCTGTGAAGATAAGTCTGCATGATGAACCTGGTGTATGTGGATGACGAGAAGTATGGGATTTCAATGAATCCTCTCAGTTAACCTCAAGCTGTACAACTGAAAACGATTATGGCTCTGATATGATGTATGATATGTCAGGCTTCATTTTTAAGGGCGCGTCGCGCTCGTGCTCGCACGCGCACGCGAAATTGTGGCCATGTGCGCGCAAGTTCATCGCGCCTCATAAAAGTGTTAAATCGCGCACCAAAAGTATGTCTATATGTGAAATAGCGGCTCCATAGAGTTCTCATGTAGGGGGGAGATACAAAAAAGGTTAGCAAACACACAAACCAATTGTCTGGTGTGTAAGTGACTGAACGTAGGGCAGAGGTAGGCAGGTCTGGTTACTACCCCTCTGGTTTTATCATATATATATAAATACAACCTAAAGCAACAGCACCAAATAACAGGTACTATACGGTAGCCATCAAGTTACCTGGCTAGTTTTCCTTAGCTATACGTGGCGAGAAGTGTTTTCTGCCCAGACGTGAAACAGTCGTAGGGCTGGAGGGGCCTACCATACGTGGCTACTACGTACAAAGTTAATTGGCCAGTTTGTTATGGATTGTGATGATTATTTTGGTGCTGTAAATAATGCAGGTACAATGGATTAGAATCTCTAAGGATGGAAAATACAGATAAATAAAAACAAGTTTATTTTACATCCGATCACTCTTTTATTATCTGTGTGCTCAGTGTTGGTTTGTTGGATGAAAAAGAATGTAATCCTGACGAGCCATTGAATGAATGAAGTGAAGATGAATGATAATCAGTAGGATTGACATGAATCCCAATTTTCGTTTTGATTTCACTCGTAGACTCTGAGGATTGGGTCATGATCCATCATCTACACCCCAAGAGCAGATGGAGAGCCCTCAGGGAGCTCTCCATCATCCCTTTTAAAGGTGTGATTTTTAGTGGAGCTCTCCATCATGCCTCTTAAGGGTGTGATTTTTTAGTGGAGCTCTCCATCATGCCTCTTAAGGGTGTGATTTTTTAGTGGAGCTCTCCATCATGCCTCTTAAGGGTGTGATTCTGGAGCGTGAAAAGTCCCCCTATGGTGTCCTAGGGGAGTCATTAGTAGTCCTCCTGTACTTTTCAAATCTGAAAGCCTGATATGTGATATGAAATGTGTTGTTTCCTACGGAATGGGCCTCATATCCTGAAATTTTACTCGTATTGACTGTATATAGACAGGCTCGTTAAAACGATTACTATTCATTTTTTAGCCAAAATAGTTACGAGCACATCTATTAGGGAGACAATATACCTGAGAGTGAGAATGTTTGCGTCTTGTAGAAACAATTTCAGTAACTTGTACCTGTCTCCTGCTTCCAGTAATGGACAACATCCTAGATGACATCGGTGACAGGATAAAAGAATGTCACGGCGTCGAAAACCTGTCACCTGTCAACCTGCAGTCTGCTGTACGTATGCCGTAGCATCTTGTTCCCTCACCGGAAGTAGCTCTAGTACTATAGCCCGCGTACAGTTGCCGCGTGGCTATAGAACATTCTATTACGAATGCTAGGGACCAACTTATTCACGGTTACTCGCGGCTATAAAACGTCTGTGGTAGGCAATTAATGCCTCTTATCTGAAGTGAATACGTCTTAAGTTATATCAGCTACTAAAATTTAACCTCTAACTATCGTTGAAATGGTCTGCTTGCGGTATTTCTTGTGAACGAACATTATTTACGAACTTCAAAAGGCCATTTTTGGTGGCGCTGCAGCAGCACCAGTCAGCGGCTTGGTCCCTAGCATTTGTAATAGAATGTTCTATAGCCCTGCGGCAACTGTATGCGGGCTATAGTACTAGAGCTACACCGGAGGCTGCATCAGGGTTCAAGGGCCCTGAAAATTAGACCTTTCAAATAACTTACAGCCCTCGACGCTAACGGTTGTCCGATTGCCCAGGACAAGTGAAAGTCTTATGTCAGACAAGTTATTCTCTTGGCCTGTTGGCTAGTTGCCCGATCATACAACTGAAAAATTCCAGTTGTTTAGTATTCCTAACATCCTTTGAGCCAGAGCGCGATCGCACGACGCTGTATATTTCGCGGTGGTTTAATTTTCGCGAATTTTGCGAACGCATCCCCAGACTGCGAAAATAACAACACGCGAAAATAACAACACGCTGTTCTTCACTGATTCGGGAATTCACCGACCGCGAAATTAACCACTCGCGAAATTGTCCGTCAAGTCTGAAGTCGCGAAAATATCTGTACGCGAAAAATATTGCGTATACAGTATCTCACATTTTATTTTCAAAGGTCGCCGAAAAAGCAGCCCGCGACACCCGTGTCACCCACTTTACTCCATTACAGATTTATTAATAGAGCGCCAGCGCACACATCAGGGCTGCGTACATGCCTGGCTGCAGCGGCATAGATTGATGTAGGGGTGGGGGAGGTCACTATATTGTTTAATTTGCGTGGGGCATGTTCACTACTGAATATGTACGGGGTGGGCATCGCTGGGATGAGAAAGCGACAGCGAAACTCTTTCCTGGAATTGTGAAAAAGCTGCAATTGGGAATGACACACAATGAGCGAGCCGGCACGCAAAAATAATCGTGTAAATTTCATTACGATTTTCCATGTATATACTGTAATATGATATGCACTGAACAAAAAATGACCTTAACGTCTCATAGATTGCAAGTAAATTTTTGACAAGTATAATAAAAATTCGTATAATAAAAATTTCTTCTTGTTGCCCGACAGGACAACCAGATCTGAAAATAAGCGTTGAGGGCTGACTTACCATAATGTACTTTATGCTCTTGAGATTTTATATATGTACAGTATTATATACATGTGTATGCATATATATATATATA